CAAAGCCTCATGCTAACGCGGTGCCTTGGTGAGCTGACATTTACCCTTCATTCCTAACCCACACACCACACCACACACACACATAAGGTCCCATATGCATGACAATGGGCCGACCAGAGACACTGACAGGAGAGAGACAGAGGAGTGATAGCAGAGCGCAAGGCCATATCCTGAAGCAACTGTCTTTAATGGATGGCAGAGGGCAGAATGTGTGAAAAGCGTGTGTGTGTGTGTGTGTGTGTGTGTGTGTGTGTGTCTATGCATGAATCATAAAAGATAAAAGAACTTTTTGAGTGACATATAAGGAAAGCTGTGCCACTGTAGATAGTGAGTTGGGTGGACTTCAAGCGGGAGACAGAAAAAGTGAGATAGATACTCTAGTGATGTTCAGATCAAGACACTGGCAGAGAAGAGACAGATAAGCAGGCCGCTGGTTTCATTGGCAGATTGATTGACAAACAGACAGGCTGACAAAGAGTAAGATATATACAGTAGAGCCTACATGAATAAACTCTAGGAAAGTCAGTGGCAGTTGGGTGGAAAGTGACAGAACCGATCCTATCCATGACACTATGGGTCTGCTGCTGTGTTCGTGTACACAAACTATAACTTTACTTGACTTGCAGAATACAGAGAACGCCAGAAAATGGAAAAATAAGAAAAAGAGTTGTAGGCAGACTGATGGTATTCGATAAGCGTCAAGCTTCATGTACAAAAAGAGACAAAAGAGAGACAGATAACTATATTCAAGAAAAGCAAGAACCGTAAGGTATCAGCCTCAGACAAAGATTAATTTTGGGGGTGGGGGGGGAATACAGCATTCTCCCTTTAATCACAGGGAAGAATGCATCTGCTTTAGAAAATCCTTACAAGCACATACAGATAACAAAAGAACAGAGCTTTTAAGCTGTCGGGAGGTTTTCACCAGGCTAGAAGCTCTGCTGTCTATTGAGCAGTCATGTTATTGTCACACAAAGCTGAAAAATTACTGCATCTAAACGTCTTTTCTAACTCGCTAGCTATTTTATCTCCCCGTGAACAGTCAGTTTATTTTGCTTGTTTGTTTGAACAAAACGGCCCTCCTTTACAAAGTGCACCTCGAAACACTTTTTGGGTGAATTATTACTGTCCTTCAGTGGCGCAGATAAGGAGTCTACTCAAAATGACGATGGGCTTGTATGTAATGGAATTCAAAAAGTTCCTATCCTAAATAAGATATCCAACATTTAAAAATCTAACATTATTCTAAGAAATGTGGTTAAGTTCTTTATTTTCTGATATTTTTGTTTTTCAAATATTTTCTGAATGCAAAAACTAATTTTCCAAAACGTACATATTACAGCTGAATGTAATTACCTACATGATAAATAAACCTTCTGTTCCACGTTTGATACAAGCACACGGGCACCTAGTTTAGAGAAAGGTAAAACCTCCAATTATTAATAGTCTCAATGTTAACTAAATGTTTCCTCCAGGGTCTACGGCATATTATATATCACAATGAAATACGATCCAGTGCTCTCTCTCATGACTGACTCTGCAGTGCATATTGCTCCCTTTTGACCCCTAACCACCTGCAGCAATACTGAAACTTTTCCTAGTAAAACTCTCGTCCAAGTGCTCTGCTCTGCCAAGCTGCTGGCTCTGTCAGATCCATTTATAGACAGGCAGATTGGACAGCCGCCTGCATGTCCAGAGGGGTCTTGGGACTGCCCACTCATTTCTTTTCATTAAGGCTGACTGATCAGGAGTCTCCGGTGGCAGATGCACCCGTCTTTCCTCTCTTTTTGACCCAGTCTCAGTCATTTGGGTATCATTCCAATGTGTTATTTGAGCACATTTTAACCGTCATAGGAAACTAAGAATTTTCTTTTTATGGAAAGTCTTCAAAATATTTTTTTTTTCAGTTGTATAATTGAAGTTTTCAAGAGGTAGATTTCAGACTGCAACACCAGACTAGATCAGGGGGTTTAAAAGTCTGACACTGTGGGACCCTCCTCAGACAAAACCGAGACAATTCTCCTAAATGAGTTACATTGTGGGCCTCAATTTGAGCCCAGCTTTTTTATATTTATTTACATTTTGGCAAATTGACACAATTAAAATTATGCCAAATGAAATATTAGCAGTTCTTGATTGCAATATAATGCTGGATATACAGAAACTCTATCACTGAATTACTCACTGAAGAAAACTTAAAATCTGATGATTCTCAGGCAAGTTCTGGAATTACAAGGAGCAACTTTTTCAAAGCAGATTCATGGATGTTTATTTCAATAGACATGGACAGAGCTCCAGTGTGCACGTCACACTCAATTAGTGACTGCTGTCCAATCTATGCCCCTGGGGTTAAAGATGCTCTAAATGAAACATTAGACCAAAAATATGGATGCAAATAATCATAGCAGCGAGAGGTAGGAAAGGTTTCAGATCTAAAACTACAGCAGCATATATTGTTGCTTTTTTACTATTTGAATTAGAAACATTAGCTCTTAGCTGCCTATATGAATATGTTTTATTTCTAGGGGTCCTAAAAGGGCCTCCCTTGGAATTTGTGTGTGTTCAACAAAGACCGTAGTAGGTCTGAAACAAGGCTGTGTGACTAGGCTGTGCGTGCAAATGAACATGGAAGGGATAGCACCCAACACGTTAGCCAAACTCAACTAATACCTCGACTGAGACAGAGCTCCATGGCTAGCAGTGCAGATCAGAGGTAATGCACTGGCTAATGTGACAAAGTGTGCAGTGAAGGGCGGCCAAAGAGGCTTTAATACAGGAAGAGGGACACATGGAGGATGGGAACGGCAACTGGGGGAGAAGAGATGGATCAACAGTGACAGTGGCATGAAAGATCCAAGGATGAGCAGATTATACATAAGATAAGTGAATAAAAGAGAAATAGAGAAGTAAAGGATAGAATATTGGATGTAGGTAGTTTAATAGGACACTAAAATATGAGGTCTTTTTACATTTAAACATTTCTATCTGAAATCTAAAAACATTTATATGCCTTTTTATGTCTGAGCCGGAGATAGAGCACTCTTCAGAAGTCTTAAAGGTCAACCTGAAAATCCAACTATCTTTAAAAGAGTAGTGCAGGTCACTCTTGAAAAGCAAGATTTCATTTCTGTTAGATTATCCCAATAAAGAAAGGTTAGACAGAGGAGATGTCTGCGATAAGACGTTTTGCCAACTCTTCGAATTATATGAATTTCACACCAAACTTTTTAACGTACGAATACAGTCAAGCAACAGTTTGATGTTCTTTAAATTAATCATCTCGTTGCGCCCTCTTCTTCTACAGTGGTTTTATGGACTCTGACAGGAGAATTAGCACCACCAGCTGTTTATCTTGATGAACCAACTCTATGTATGGATGAAAACGCATTTATTTGCATTTTTTTCTTTATTTTCTCGTCTAGACCTTCTTTATCAACATCAGTCAAATCCACCGTCTTTCACCAGGAAAGAAGTGAAGAACTTTTCATTTCTCTCTTTCTCTCAGGACAGTCTAAAGCCTATTCTGGTTTTCAGCCCACAACACTTTCCCCTTTCACCCACAGAGGGATGGGCATAGAGTTGATACATTTGTTAAGAGACTGAAGCTTTCTTTTTCATTCATTTGCCCTTTAACGCTCTCTTTCTGTCACTTCAGTGTTTTCTCTGTCTCTTTCTTTCTCTGACTGATTTGCACTCACTCTGTCAAGGATATGCCTGATTGAACCTGAATTAAACACATGCCTCAAAAAGGAGACAAACAGCTTGCCTTTACTCTGCACTTTACTCTTACACTCACAATCTAAATTCATACAACTCATGCTCGCAAAAAAACCCCAAACTGACTCACATATAAACATATACACTGTTTTTTTCCCCCCCAAAGAGCCCCATCCCACTGGCAAATGGATCTTTTGAACCAGTTTAAAAAGACTGATTACTTTTATTGTGAGCCTTTGCCTTGCTTTTATCGACCGTTTAAACTGCCAGATTCACCAATTGTTGTTTTGTGCCTTTTATCTACTTTGGAGCCATATCAGTGCGTTTTGTCACGATAATAATGTGCAAATTACCCCATTCATTATTGTTTTTTGATGGAGAAATTGGGTAAAATAAGCACTTTGTAGATAAGCGTAGGGTCTGAACACTATTTGCGAAAGCATCAGCAGAAAGCAGAATGCATTTCAAAGAGCTGAATGCCAAAACTGATTTTAATACACTAATAACGGTGTAATCTTCCTATCAGAAAGTTCCAAAACACAGTGCACGCCTGATGACTTATAAATCCGCTCAATAAGCATGTCTCATTGATTTAGCTTCCTATTTGAAGTGTCAAAGTAACCAACATGCAGATTACAATCCTCAGAAGTTAACTGATTTTGTATAAGGAATGAAAGGATTATTTGTCTCTTCACCTTTTTGTTCCACTGTCAGTGTCACTGTCAAGTTCCTTCCAGGTCTGACTAATTAACTGCTATCTTTCTGTCGTCTTTAAAAAAAACTGGAGGGGAATTAAAACATTAATTGGAGTGCTTCTGTAGCCAAATGGTTACAGCACATACCACCACCCGGTCACAACTGTTGCTGGTTTGATTCTAGCCGCCGACCTTTCTTACGTATAATACCCCCCTCTCTATCCCCCGTTTCCTGTCTGCCTCTTCACTGTCACTGTCAAATAAAGGTAAAAAATGCCCAAAATAATTATGTTTAAAAGACATGTATCTTTAAAGGTAAGAGAGCTACTTCAAGTACTCTGGCCAAGTATGTTACTCAAAGGGAATGATCAAGGAGTGATAACAGCAAAAAAATAAAAAATAAAAAATAAAAAAACCTATGGCAGTGGGAAATTGATCAAAAGTAAAGAACTGTGGCGTTATCTGCACCATTCACACATATTACAAACACACTAATACACCCACACAAACAAACCTTCACACAAAAATCCTATTAAAAAAAGACAACACACTTCCCTTCATGCTCCCACACCCGAGGCCCTCACCTACCTTGGCTTGCTGGACACAGGTCATGTACTGTTTGGCCAGGCTGGAGCAGAGCAAGGTCTGCTGTGGATTTTCTCCGTAGCACTGGAGCACCTTGGCCTGCAGCTCAGTACACAGAGACACAGTCTGTCGGGGTCTACACAGGAACAGAGGGCACAGACGGGGGTCAGTGTGATTATGACAGCGCTGCCAACTGGGAATGTCTTCAGTTACTGTACGTGCTCAGATCTCTTCGCTACCCTTATCATGTTGTACATTTTTGACAGTTCATTAGATGGTCTGTTTTAACAGAGCCTCATCTGTTAAAACAAGGGTTAGACTTTTACCAGCTGTTACTGCCAGGGGTGCTGCATCAGTTATTTACTATTAACATAAACATCAACAAGAAATTTGCTAATTAATAGAATTTCTTAGTATTAATGCCCTATTTCTTCTCTTACCGTTTTTTAAAAACGCATTCAAATAAGACAAAAGGAGAAAGAGAAGCAGGTAATGGTACTCAGTACATGGTACATTTTCCAGAAAGAAAAAATAAAAGAGGAAAAATCTCGTATTTTTTATATTATGCTGTATGTTCCTAGTTGATATATTTTCAGTTGAATGTTATTACACACTGCTTCTTCACTGAAAGTGACAGATGTTAACAATTTAATAAAACACACAGGAATAAACAGGAACATTGCAGAACATCTTCAACAGAGGGTTTTCAAAATGGTTATGGAGATTAAAATAACATATTGTAGCAAGCAGTGCTGAATGAATCAACAGGTAGATTTAGTCCAGTTCTGTAATTGTGGATCTGACAGAGGCAGATGAGTTATACAGTCTTATTGCAGTGGGGAGGAACGATTTTCTGTATCGTTCCTTATTGCAGCGGGGTTGAATGAGTCTCAAAAACACACTAGATTATAGGCTATATACGACTTATACATGTTAACAGGCCCATTTACCTCAGTAATACGAGAATGTATTTCTATCTATGTGCTTTTACGCCTAAAGCAAACATGTTGACTGTGAAGGTGCCGTTGTTTCAATAAATCTAAAAACAATTTATTAGTTGTTCTGTCTGAGTGCAAAGCAATGCTTTTCCTGTGTGAGTTTGGTAGTCTTCACATTGTCACGTTACACTGATTATTTTGGGGGGTCGCGACTTATTATTATTACTGTAATTATTGATTAAATAACTAGCAGTAAATTCCTCTTCATGATCTGAAGAGAACCTGCTTTGAACCTACAACCTGGGTATTACTGTTACAGTTTTCATCATTATTTCATCATTCATCATCCGCATCAGATGTGACACAATTTAATAACAAACTTTGAGCTGAGATCAGACGTGATCTTACAAGAAAGTATGGAACAAGTAAGCAGCCGTAACTAAGACCCAGGTTGTAAAAAAAAAAAATTTAATTTCCTTTAATGTTTAGACAAGGCTCCGTAAAGCTGTAAAATCACTATGCTATCTCAAGACAACATTAGCTACAGGATAAACCTACACTTTCAGTCTCTGATGAGAAAGATACACAGCAGTCTTTGTTGCTCGGAGTAAAGAATCACGGGACTTACCAAAGCAGGCGATAATTTCAACTGTGATTGCCAGATTGAAGCTTCAACAACAACAGGTTGAGTTGCAAGTGACTAAACGTTACCAACTCCTTGAAGTTAGGCTTAGTTGAAACCACAATAACAGCGGCGCTAACAATTTCTGTTTTGTGTCATTCAATTTTTTGGAGAGCAAAAGAAAATAAAAACACTTGAGATTATTTATGGTTTGTTTTAGTTGCAGTTGGAGTAGCTAAGACAGTTTCAAAGGCTTCAAGGTGCAGCTTGTGGAGAGAGATGAATTATGCATTGACAAAGCAGCTTAGAAGTCAGAGTCAAACTTTCTCTTTTCTTTTTATCTTACTCACACATACAGTACATGTGTGTAGACAAAAGCACACAATTGTATCCACACCCACAAACACACACGCGCACAGACACAGATGCACGCACACATATGCAGGTAGTGAATGCTAATCCTACATGGGGGTAATCCTTGAGTGCTCTGTTGCTTGTAGTAATTTACCTGCTGTTGTGACAGAACTCGTAACCGGAAGGATTGGGATATGGATATGTACACGCACATACATACACACAAAGACACAACTTATTATTCACAGCAATGCATCCTGTACAAGCTCGCACATGCACAGGAAATCCACTGGCAACAGAACAGAGCCGAACAGAATGAAACATCAAAAAGATAGAACAGAATAGAATAGAACAGAAAGTAATTAAATAGAACACAACATAATAGAATAGACCAGAATCAAGCAAAACACAACATAATGAAAAAGAATAAAACAAAACAGAATATAATAGACCAGAATAGAATAGAATATGATGACAAAACAAGGTCCAAGGTCAGGTATAAACTCTGAACCTCAACTAGAACTGAAATAGGGATTCTCTACCTCTTTCTGCTCTCTCTTTCACACTAGACAAGACCACTTGACATTTATTATCTAAAGTTTTAAAATGTTCTAATGAACATCTTGATGTTATCCTGCAGTCACATTTCAGTCTGTATACAGCACTGTACTGTAAAAAAAAGAGTAAGACACGGAGGGGAAGAGATAGAATTAATGTTCAATTTGATAAGGAAACGCATGGCTTCATTTAACATGATGGGACATGCTTACTTATTTTGGGAAGCTGACCACCTGATATTCACATACACAATCATGTATGTGTACATGTACACACACACACAAATATGCACACACCCACTCAGAGAACTGCCCTCATGCCACCCCTAAAAGCAATTACAGAATCATGCGTCCTTCACATATGAATGAACTCAACAGACCCTGCCTGCACTAACAGTACACACACTGTGCGACTGTGTGGGGATATGGGATAGACTGTGCACGACAAAGACTGAGGGAGAAATTTCTCTGCACTGGTATGTGTATTGTGTAGTCTGAGTGTGTGTCTGTCTGTGTGTGCTGGCATGTGCAGTGGAGGGTAGAGCGACCGGATTAAATAAATCACTGGCGGAGAGAATATTCATGAAAAGAGAAGTGAATGCAACCTGAGAGACAAACAGAGAGAGAGAGAGAGAGACAGAGAAAGAGAGAGACAGACAGA